CCAAACTTTTGTGCTCAACATTACAATAATTCACTTTCAGTGCTTAAAGCCAAACTTAGACATAGAATTTGGTCTTATTTTGAATCAAATAAGTTTGGTCTAGTTTACTCAGCCATGACCACATCTTCTCTTCCTTTTATGTGAATGGTTGTATGAAGTTTTCAATAAATAAAAGACTAACCGATTGCATTTCCTGAGCATATCTACTGGTCATATCGGTGAACTGCACTAGTACTTCCCTATACTCTGTCTCAAACTTTGCAAGTTCTGCTCTTTTAGTAAGAATCTGAGCTTCTACAGACCTAAGGTCTTCTTTTTCTTGCGTAAAAGAGTCAGCACAAAGAACCTGCATTGTGTAGCTCACACTTTTGAAAAAATTATCACCTAAAAAACAGAACAGACATTAGATGACCACCGAGTTGGATCAATCAAGTACTGGATCCTGACACATATTAAAGGAAAAAAAAGAAGTAAATTTGTAATCAGATTACAAGCCGAGAAACTGACCATAGACAGCAAAGACATGAGTACCGGCCTTTAGTTCGGTAACCTCACATTGCTGAAACCCATCAAGCTTTTTAAAGAAGGCAGATTCTGGATCCTTTGCTTGAGCCATCTATAGAGCAATAAATATCAAGTCAGGTTGGGGAGAAAAAGCGTGAGAAGTAAACGAAACTCATCTGGCAGCTAGTAGTGACGTAAATTTAGAACATAATGAAGTGAACCTACTGAATTAACTGTGTGATCCAACCGGTAGACAGGGAAACCGAGAAAGTACATGCCAGCAGATGTTATCTTGCCGGTTTTTTTGCTGTCCTCCTGTATCCATGAGGGATTCAGAGTACAAGTAGAAAACAAACATTTGCATTAGTTTTCTTACTACATGTAATACCACATTCGGTCCAGTGATATATGAGAACCCACTGAAAAAGACCACTTTTTTGCTTTAATTAATAACGACAATACCTGCAGCGCTAAGCTCAGTCCGCTATTGGCTTCTTGATCGAAATACAGCAACTGCACAAGCAGACACAAACGTTAACGTTAGTTTGTCAATAATTTGGCATTTCCATATCAGTTTGATGGGTAAAGACTCTGCCAAGCCAACCTTGAATTTGCTTTTGCTTGATGATTCTACTCTGCAGACCAACCCAGAGCGTACATCCTCTTCTGTTATTGTGACAGCATAAAAGTGTGCGCATTGCTTTTCAACCTGTAAAAACCATAGCGCGTATGAGATTTATTTGGAGATACACTTATTACACACGTGAATGTGACCATAGCTGGTTATCTGCTACAATAGCTCACCTTTTTAGATACAGCTTGTCCAAGTACAAGAGGATCAACTGAAACTCTGCCATTAAGAGCCTCCTCCAAAATAGTTGCAGATACAGATGTTTTTATCGGCACACCAAGTTTGCTATTTTGTTGGAAATTTCACAGCACATACTCAGCTTGCAATAAATAAATCTGTTGTGCCCAGCTATATAAAAAGGGCCAAAGAGAATGAACAGAAGTCCACATAAAAATAAACCAACCTAAACAAAGCTGCAAACACAGTATTCACAGCTCCTAAACTTGAGAGATCTAGCTCCAGCTCTGTGCTTTCTGCTTCAACTGCCTGGGGAAGAAAAGCGCTTTGCAATTAGTAAAGTCTGAATGTGATGGGGGCACAGCAATAGCTGCTGGAAGAATTTTGAAGCATATCACAACATCAAAACTTTGCCAAGGAACAATAGTATTTCTAGACACAAGGTTCCTAGAAATTCTTAAGTTCAAACCTGAAACCCATCTTAATCTCAATTAATAAGTATGATATCTATGATTTCACAGAAGACAAGAACCATCATTCCTGCCTCACGTATAGGTCAGAGTAAATCAACAATACCGCAATACAAACGAATCTCACCTCAAAACCTGCTGTATCATACTGGCGGCGTTTCTCCGGATCAGACAAGATGTTGTAGGAAAATGTGACCTCCTTAAACATGTCGGCTGCAATCGGGTCATTTGCTGTCTTATCAGGATGATACCTGAAACACCAAACATTACATGAATTTGGGAACAAGGCTAAAACAGAGATAGCAGGACGAGGAATAAATGTTTGTTCAGAGGATGTTCAATTTCTAAAGAGAATCAGCCTAGACCAGACCATCCCCTTCCCTTATGATTATGACTAAGGCTTGAATAAGTAAATCACAAATGAACAAGTAGCCATTAAATTAACTCTTTGCCGGACTTACTTCCGACAACCTCGCAGGATAGATAAGTCACAGATTGGTGGATTCAATTCAAAAGTCATCTCTGTAACCTAAATAGATTCAATTCAAGAGTCTTCTCTGAAACCTAAACCTAATTATTTTCTTGTACTTCCATAGGAGAGAGAATTTATTTTCTTTCAAACCAAACAGAAATCGAAAGAAGCCTCCTCGAAAATCACATGATAGTCATGAAATTAGCGGTCCTTAGATTGACACAGCTTTTAAGAATTGCAAGTTTCTCCAAGTTGAAACTAACGAGACACCCAGAGATGTACGTAGAAGTAACTGAAAGAGACGAATAAAAACTTACTTGAGAGCCAATTTCCGGTAAGCGCTCTTAATTTCCTGATCCGTAGAGTTCCTTCCGACTCCTAGAACCTCGTAAGGGTCACGGCGGAGCTGCTTCTCGGCATCTTTCTTCTCCGACTTGGATCTATGAGCTGGCATTTTCTCCTCTTCAAAAAAATCCTCGCCGGAAACCTTACGAATCCCACTTCAAACGAAAGAATCTCCAGATGTTCAGAGAGGTGATAATCTTCTCGATTCCTCCTTCATTTCACCAAATCGTTCCTCGGATAATTTCAAACTGTAACAGAGCCACGAAACCCTAGATTACGCCGGAAGAAAACTCCGACTAGAC